ACTAATTCAAAACAGAGGAAATCTTCCAACTTAACTGGCCTTTCGGGGATGAGTGCCCACTCGCGGACAACATTGGCGTAACGGGTTGCTGTGTCTGATGATAGAAATCTCCTGACACCCCCTTCAGGCTCTCTAGTCCGGGCTGTGCCAAATGCGGAATCAACCTTCTCTTTTCCTTTTGATGTTCTCTTTGGCGACATTCTGCGAAGGTAAGAAAAGAGGTGTATCAGGCTCTTGACTTATGATAATTAAAAAAATGAGAGAGGATGGCTGTGAAGTGCAAAATCCCCCAAACTTGCTTCAACATGCATGTATAACACATTGGTGTGTAATTTTCAAAACATCATATTCAAGATAGTATAAATATTGCGTCAATAGGAGAAACTAGCAAAATTTGGCCCAAACATGCACATTATGAAAATTTGATCCATGATCGAGTGCGCACTTTCAACTCCGGGCATCATCAAGAAATATCGAAATTTTTCCGGGCAATCTCCATGCATAGGAAAGTATTCAATGAGGTCTAGCACATACTCAAATTTCAAATCAATCGAATTTGTTTGGTATGTCAAATTATGTGCCAAAGTGGATGACGTGAGGTGTCGTGACCTAACCATGTGCCTACGTGTTGCAAAATGGATTTTATGTTTTACATGGCCTTTCATGTGATATCTCATTACCCAATTGCTTATTCACATCAATTGTAATGCATGACAAAACCAAAGTTTACAAAATTGCTTAAAGCTTGTCACTTAGGCATTTAATCGAACAAGTTGTGTGCATTATGAAATTCTCTTAACTTTGGCATTTGGCACTTTAGAATCCATCTCCTTTTTCACAAATCAATCATAAACACCACAAAGATACCCAACCTCCATCAAATACCCAACAATAGAAAGAAAAAATTCCCCCAATTTCGGAATTGATGGAATAAGGTGTAGAGAATTTACCTTGCAAACTTTTAGAGATTTGGGACTATAATACTACCACAAAGTGAATGCAAGATGTGTTGTAATGTGAGTTATGAATTGTGATGAGTTGTGGATCTTGTGTTGGAGGTGCGTAAGTTGAGATGTTCGAGAGGAGAAGGTCGAGAGTTGAGAGAGTTGGGTGTGTGTCGTGTTTTTAAAGAGTTAATGAATTTTTATTTTTTTTAATCTACTCTATGCGACCACATAGAGTAGAGAGGTGCAATCGCATAGAGTCAAGTGTCAGGGCCACTTGAGGCCCTGACCATAGTCATGCGACCGCATGACATTTTAGTCTATGCGGTTGCATAGACAAAAATGTCAAAAAAAAATTTATTTTTTATTTTTTATTTTTGTATTTTTTTTATTTTTTACATTAATAAATAAAATGAAATAAACAAAACACAATAAAGTAAAAAAAAAATTTATTTTCTCTCCAAAAACACAACCTCGACCAAACTTTGGTTGTCAATTAATACCTTAACCCGACCTTTCAACACCCCAAACTTTTCAAAGTCAGATTTTTTTTTTTTTTTTTTAACATCTTGGTGCTTGTGTGGGTTACAACTTAGTGCCAAAACCACTTTGAACTCTCAATCACACATTGATCCTTTAAATTTTTAAAAATGACCTTTTTTTGTCTTGAAATGCGTGAATTATAACCCCAATCAACCAAAACCACTTCAAGCTTATCGAATATGTGCTTCATGCCTAGGAATTCGTGTAAATGATGCTTAGATTCTATTGACATGCATGGATGATCGATGACCTAAACCTAATCAAACGTGAAAATCAAAATTTCCTAAGCTAATGCCAGCATTAAAAGTAATGAAAAATGACACAGTGGGTTGCCTCCCACCCAACACTAGGTTATAGTCGATAGCTCGACTCTTCTGCAGCTGCTTTATTCTGGCATTCCGAGTTGAACGGTGGAGTTTTGGTTGGAAAAGTCACCGCCCCAGTAGTGTTTCAGCCTTTGCCCATTAACAGTGAAGGTACCCTTAGTCTCATGGCTGATTTGTATGGTCCCATATGGTAGGACTTTCGTAACAGTGTAAGGACCCGACCACCGTGATCGTAGTTTTCCTGGGAACAGCTTGAGTCTCGAATTATACAATAGCACTTACTGCCCCACTTCGAATTCTCGCCTCTGAATATGCATATCATGCCACTTCTTGGTTCGTTCCTTGTAGAGTTCTGAATTTTCATAAGCTTCCATCCTAAATTCATCTAACTCATTAAGTTGCAGTAGGTGCTTCTCACCGGCAGCACTCAAGTTCATATTTAACTGTTTCTTAGCCCAATATGCCCGGTGCTCCATTTCTAGTGGCAGATGACATGCTTTCCCAAAAACTAGGTGGTACGGAGACATGCCTATCGGTGTCTTGAAGTCTGTCCTATAAATCCACAATGTATTGTCCAGCTTTTTAGACCAGTCCTTTCTAGATGAGTTCACTGTGACCTCGAGTATTTTCTTCAGCTGCCGATTAGATAATTCAACTTGCCCTCTGGTTTGTGGATGATATGGGGTAGCAACACGGTGTTTAACGCCATATTTATTCAACAGCTGCTCAAACTGGCAATTACAGAAGTGTTTGCCCCCGTCACTGATTATAGCTCGCGGTGTACCATATCGGGTGAAAATATATTTCTTCAAGAACCCAATTACTGCCTTTGAGTCATTTGTTGGCAGTGCAATTGCTTCCACCCATTTTGATACATAGTCCACTGCTACCAAGATGTATTGATTTGAGAATGAAGGGAGAAAAGGTCCCATGAAGTCAATTTCCCAAACATCGAATATCTCCACTTCCAATATGTTATTCAGAGGCATTTCATTCCTCCTTGAGATATTTTCAGTGCGTTGACATCTGTCACAACTCTTGACAAACTCAAAGGCATCTCTAAACAGTGTAGGCCAATAGAACCCTGATTGTAGAATCTTTGCAGCTGTTTTCAAAGCCCCAAAGTGCCCTGCATATGCAGATGAGTGGCAGTGCTCAAGAATCTCATGTACTTCTTCCTCAGGTACATCTCCTTACTATCTGATCAGCCCCTCGCCTATAGAGAATTGGATCCTACTAGAAATAATACTTCAATTCGACGAAGAACTTTTTTCTCTGGTGACTTGAGTAGTCTGGCGGTGGGATGGATCTGGCCAAGTAATTGACGATATCTGTGTACCAAGGTGCTTCATCTACTCTCAACATCTTCTCATCTGGTAAGATCTCATTGATGTCCACTAATTCTTTTGTCTCCTCAGGCTCTAATCGGGATAGGTGGTCTGATACTACATTCTCACAGTCCTTCTTGTCTCGTATCTCGATATCAAATTCTTGTAGTAACAGCACCCAACAAATCAATCTCGACTTTGCATCCTTCTTTGTGAACAGATACTTCAATGCAGCATGATCTGTAGAGATGATGACTTTAGACCCGACAAGGTATGATTTGAATTTGTCGAATGCATATACCACGGCCAACAGCTCCTTTTCAGTGGTGGCATAATTGACTTGCATAGTAGATCACATGAAAAATCTTGTTCTTCCGCTATCCTAGTATTGCACCCACGGCGTGATCACTGGCATCACACATCAATTCAAAAGGCAGTTCCCAGCCTAGTGCCACAATTACTGGTACTGTCGTGAGCTTCTCCTTTAAAGTGTTGAATGCTATGAGGCATTCCTCATTAAACTCAAAAGTTACGTCTTTCATTAGCGGATTGCATAACGGCTTAGTCATCTTCGAGAAATCTTTTATAAATCTCCTATAGAACCTTGCATGCCCCAAGAAGCTGCGAACTCCTTTAACTGATGTAGGCGGTGGTAACTTCTCAATAACTTGAATTTTTGCCTTATCCACCTCAATTCCTTTTGCCGAGATCCAATGCCCGAGTACAATGCCTTCCTACACCATAAAGTGGCATTTCTCCCAATTTAAAACCAGGTTAGTCTCCTTGCATCTCTGCAAGACCAAATTTAGGTGTTCTAGACATTCATCGAATGAAGATCCAAACACTGAGAAGTCGTCAATGAAAACCTCAATAAACTTTTCAATCATATCGGAGAATATTGCCATCATACACCTTTGAAATGTGGCTAAAGCGTTGCAAAGACCAAAAAGCATCCTACGATAAGCAAAAGTATCGTAAGGGCAAGTGAAAGTGGTCTTTCTTGATCATCTGGTGTGATAAGTATCTGATTGTAGCCCAAGTATCCATCAAGGAAGCAGTAGTGTAAATGTCCAGCCAACCTCTCCAACATCTGATCAATGAATGGGAGTGAGAATTGATCCTTTTGTGTAGTTACATTGAGTTTGCGATAATCGATGCAAATTCTCCATCTTGTAATCGTTCTGGTGGTTCCCCCTTTTTTCGGCACCACTTGAACTGGACTGATTTATGCACTATCTAAAATTGGGTAGATAATTCCTGCATCCAGTAATTTTAGTATCTCTGCCCGGACTACTTCCTTCATATTTGGATTCAATCTTCTCTGACCATCTATACTTGGCTTGCAATTTTCTTCCATTAGAATTTTATGCATACACAGAGAAGGGTTGATTCCTTTAATGTCAGCTATTGTCCATCTAATCGCCGTCTTGTTCTCTCTGAGTACCCTGAGCAATTTTTCTTCCTCCATCTCACTGACTGCGTTCAAAATGATTACTGGAAGTGTATCTGACTCCCCCAAATAGGCATATCTGAGATGTGGTGGTAGTTGCTTAAGTTCTAAAACTGGCAGTTGCTGAATGGAAGGCAGTGGCTTTGTATTTCCCATCCCCAGTTCCTCAAAGTGCCTCTTTCGAGCGTAAAAACCTCGTACATGTTTCAACTTCAAGAGAATCTGACTGAACTGATTGGGATTGTGCAATGCATGCTTCATAGGCGTCAAATGGGCCATGAAGTAAGAATGTTTCTTGTACTACCTTGTCAATGATGTCAACTTGGTAACAGCTATCTGATTCTGCTGACAGTTTCATGGCCTTGAATACACTGAACGATATCTGTTCCTCTCCCAATCTTAAAATCAACTACCCCCTTTGAACATCAATTAACGCTCTCCTTGTTGTCAAAAATGGTCTGCCAAGTATCAATGGGACATCATTGTCTTCTTCTATGTCTAAGATAAGAAAATTCACTGGGAATATGAACTTTTCAACCTTGATAAGCACATCTTCAATTATCCCTATGGGATATGTCGGTGACCTGTCCGCCAGCTGAAGTGTCATGGTAGTCGTTTTAGCTTTTCCCAAGCCGAGTTTCCTAAAAACAGACAGGGGTATTAAATTAATACTTGCACCGAAATCACATAATACTTTATCGAAATAGTCTTCACCAATAGTGCAATGAACAATAAAACTCCGTGGATCTTTCAGTTTTGGTGGGAGCTTTTTCTGGATTCTGGCACTACATTCCTCCGTAAGCATTATTGTCTCATGGTCCTCCAGCTGGCGTTTGTTTGATATAATATCTTTGAGAAACTTTGCGTAGCTAGGCATCTGGAATAGTGTATCGGCTAGTAGGATGTTGATATGGAGCTTTTTGAATACTTCTAGGAATTTTTTGTACCGTTGCTCCAATTTTTGCTTCTTCAACCGCTGTGGAAAGGGAATCTGAGGCTCGTATGGGTTGACTGTGAGTTTGGCCTTATCCTGTAACTTTTCTAAATTTTCCTTTGGAATTGATTCATTTACAACAGTCTCTTCTTCAGCAGGGGAAGATGTCTCTCCAATCACACCCGGTCTCTTGACATGGATTTCAGGCAATTGTATTCCATTTCAAGTTGTAATGGCTTTGGCTTGCTCTTTAGGATTGATTTCTGTGTTGCTCGACAAGTTACCTGGCGTTCTGTCAGTCAATGCGATGGTCAATTGCCCCATCTGAGTTTCCAAATTTTTGATGGCTAAATTTCGATTTTGAAGTGTAGCTTCGGCTTTCTCCATGGTTTTGCCATAAAACTGGTGTCCATTTTGAAATAACTGTATCACATTGGTCTTCAACTGGAAATTTGGCTGCCCAAACGATGGATACACTATGCTGGATTGACTTTGAATTACTTGAGGAGTCAAGAAATCTCCCAGAATCTCATTTCCTTCATCCATTGTCCCTCCTTCATTAGCTTGAATAATGTGATTGTTTAGTTCGTTAGCCATTTGTACTTGTGCTTCTTGGTGATCTCTTTGTAATCAATGAAAAGTGTGCTCCATTTCAGGATCGACTGGAATCAATTCTCCTCCAGTCGATCGTGGCATGCAAATATGAGAAACAAAACCAGTACTAGCACTGAAATTCAAACAATTTAAATAACTAAAACACAAATAAGGGATACTAACATAAGATAAAAATAAAAATAAAATTATACTAGCAAAATAAAAATTGAAGTTCGAATTAGTGCCTCGAGAAATAAAATTAAACTAAACTCAATCCCCGATAACGGCGCCAAAAACTTGTTCACAAAATTATTTCTTTCAATTTAAAACTACCTCAAGTATACGATTCGTTAACAAATAATAAAGTGGATTAAATGAGTTCAAATATCGTCCCACAGAGATTGATTAGTTCAATTTTACCTATCGTCGTCTTAACCGAAACTAAATTACTAAAGTGAATGCGAACCTAATTAAAACCCCTAATTATGCGATTTTTATGATTAAATTAAATTAAATATGCAAAACAATATTTTTAACGCTCTAAAATGAAATCAAATGTTGATAACGCACGTTTGTTGTAATCAATAGAAATTAAACACACTAGGATCATGATTTTCCATGCAATTATCACTTTAAAACCTTAGTTTCACAATGTGACAACACGCTTCAATTGTGACGAATCAATATTCTTAAATCTATCCAATACTTTCTCTCGAGATGTATCGAACCTATTTCTACATACCACGGCCTATATTTCTATGACAAGTGCATATGTAAAAATGCATGCGATTTTATGAACACTTAAAGATTCACGTAGGGTATAGCGGTATATTTCTATCCCCTATCGGACCCTACGATAATTTATATTATGTCGAATCTATTCCAATTCTCTCGAATGCAAGAATAAACCACCCAAACTCACACAATTACGGGCCCTTAATTGCGAAAACAATAATTGTATATAAATCATTCAAAACAATAGAAATATGTCTTAATGTCAAATTGCAAAACTAGAAAATTAAAGATCAAATTACATGGTACATCGATCTCCTAGCACATGAAAATCTAGCCTAACATGGTTAAAATAAAAAAATACATTAGATTTTCAGTGAATCGTTTGCATTTAAGGTGCACGTAAAGTGAATTTGTCAAATCTGACGCTTGATCTGATGATGATCTTATGCAGCGGTATCAACAATTTAGAAATTGCATCATTATTATATAAAGATTTTTGTTATATAAGTGACACTAGGAACTTTCAGCTTCTTCGATGGTAAACTTTCGAGGAAATTTTCAGCTCAGAGTGCCACTCTCCCGAAACTAGTTTCAAGCAGTGAACAATTATTATAATTATATGTCATTACGAAGTGACTTGAGTTCTGTTGAAAATGCTTTTATTGATATAAATGACTATCAGCTATCTGGACATCTATCTTCTGCTGGTAGTTCTTTGGGACAACATGGTAATTAACTTTAAACATTAGGTATTGATTTTTAACCATGATCTTTAGCATGTTATGCAGGCTTGATGCAAAATCATAACATTCGCTACACACAACCGAACAAAGAATTCATCACCAGTGCAAGGATTTTTGTGCTTTACGAGGAAATCAAGGTACTTAGATGTTATCTAATCGAATCATAGTTGCTATGACGCTGACCTTTTGGACAGTGTGTGATCGATAAATGTTTTATGAATGCTTAGAGTTGTAATTGCCAATTATAAGGTGTTTAAATAAGATATCTTTTCATTTTTTATGTTTTATAGCGTTTTATGCATTTTGGGGGCCTTTTTTTTTTTTTTTTTTTTTTGTTTTTTAGCGTTTTTTTTTTTTTGGGGGCCTTTTTTTTTTTTTTTTTTTTTTGGTTGGATGACAGATTTATTGATGACCTTACCAAAAAAGATTTTATAGACTATATTCTGGACTCTAATTTGCATGTTGCAGTATTCCTCTGGGCTCTAGTGGTCTCTAAGCTTTTCAAGAACCTTATTTCAGGACAAGGCGTCTTGCCATATGTGGAAAATGCTGGATCTATTGCTAAATATCTGGATAATCTTGGTAAGTCGAGGTTTAAGCTCAGCTGGAGTTGCTAATCAGGCTGGACCTTCTTGTCACATTAACTTAACTGGTAATTGATTTGAATTATGGTAATTTTATTGGAATAACACAATTCTTGTCAGCATGCTTTATGACCAAATTATAATCAATGATTTCGCACTAGTAAAGAATTCATAAATATAAAGATGCATTTTATTCGTGAAAATGAAACGCTCACTGTAATAAACATTATGTACCTCAAACGAAAATGAAAAATTTTCACTCCACAACTACCTGTAAGGCACCGTTTGATAGGCCAAAATTTTCTAGGGAAAGTCGAAAATCAATTCCAACTTTGATTTTTAAGAGTGTTTGATATCATTTTTTTCCATGGAATTACATTTTCTAACTTTTCTTGGGAATTGAAGTTTTCTTTATAGGGATGTAAACCAGTCGAGTCGAGTCTAAAGTTTCAGCTCGGGCTCAGCCCGGTTAAAATGGTTGAGCTTTTTTGCGGGCTCGAGCCGTGCCGAGCTTTTAAAATAGAGCTCGGGCTTTTTCGGGCCGAGCCGGGTAGGCTCGTTTTCTCCCTTTTTTTTTTCCTAAGCTACTGCCTTTTAAGGCAGTAAAAGGCAGCAATTTTGCTGCCAAGGCAGCCTCAATTAAATTTTTTTTTTTTAAAAAGCGCACGTGCTCACGAGCCGGCTCGGGCAAAA